TCAATATCATCAAAATGTCCATTCTCCCAAAAGCAATTTATAGATTCAATGCAATACCAATGAAGATACCGAAGACCTTCTTGTCAGATCTGGAAAAAATGATACTGAAATCCATATGGAGACACAGGAGACCTCAAATAGCTAAAGCAATCTCTTACAACAAAAACAATGCCGGAGGTATCACAATACCAGATTTCAGGACATACTACAGGGCAGTTGTTATCAAAACAGCATGGTACTGGTACAGAAACAGATGCATAGACCAATGGAACAGAATAGAAACACCAGAAATCAACCCAAACATCTACAGCCAACTTGTGTTTGAAAAAGGATCTAAAACCAATTCCTGGAGCAAGGACAGTCTGTTCAACAAATGGTGCTGAGAAGCAAGACCCCTACTTTTTACCTTACACAAAACTCCACTCAACATGGATTAAGAATCTAAATCTATGACCAGATACCATCAAATTATTAGAGAACTTGGAGAAACCCTGCAAGATATAGACACAGGAAAAGACTTCTTGGAAAAGACCTCAGAGGCACAGGCAGTCAGAGCCAAAATCAACTATTGGGATTGCATCAAATTGAGAAGTTTCTGTACCTCAAAAGAAACAGTCAAGAAAGTGAAGAGGCAAGCAACAGTATGGGAAAAAATATTTGCAAACTATGCAACTGATAAAGGGTTAATAACCAGAATCTACAAAGAGATGAAGAAACGCCACAACAACAAAACAAACAACCCACTTAAGAGATGGGCCAAGGACTTCAATAGACATTTTTCAAAAGAGGAAATCTAAATGGCCAACAAACACATGAAAAAATGTTCAAGATCACTAGCAATGAGGGAAATGCAAATCAAAACCACAATGAGGTTTCACCTCACCCTGGTTAGAATGGCTCACATTCAGAAATCTACCAACAACAGATTCTGGAGAGGATGTGGGGGAAAAGGGACACTAACCCACTGTTGGTGGGAATGAAAACTGGTTAAGCCACTAGGGAAGTCAGTTTGGAGATTCCTTGGAAACCTGAATATAGCCATACCATTCAACCCAGCCATCCCACTCCTTAGAATTTACCCAAAGGAAATTAAATTGGCAAACAAAAAGTTGTCTTCAACTTAATGTTTATTGCAGCTCAATTCACAAAAGCTAACACTGGGAATCAACCTAAATGCCCATCAACAGATGACTAGATAAAGAAATCATGGGATATGTACTCTATAGAATAATATACAGCAGTAAAAAAAAATGAAATCCAGTCATTTGCACCAAAATGTAGGAATCTGGCAAACATCATGCTGAGTGAAGTAAGCTACTGCCAAAGGGACAAATATCGTATGTTCTCCCTGATCAGTGACAAATAACTGAGCTCCAAAAAGAAAACCTGTTGAAGTGAAATGGACAACTATGAGAAACAGTGACTTGATCAGCCCTTGTCCTGACTGTCGATGAACAACTTAATACTTTATCCATTTTAGTATTTTTTTGTTCTACCCAAACCATTGGTTGAACTCTTTAATTAACACACAATTATTCTTAGGTGTTTAAATTTAACTGAGGCTAGCACCATGGCTCAATAGTATAATCCTCTGCCATGTGGCGCCAGCACACCAGGTTCTAGTCCCACTCAGGAGCCGGATTCTGTCCCGGTTGCCCCTCTTCCAGGTCAGCTCTCTGCTGTGGCCAGGGAGTGCAGTGGAGGATGGCCCAAGTGCTTGGCTCTGCACCTGCATGCGAGACCAGGGGAAGCCTCAGGCTCCCAGCTTCGGATCAGCGTGGTGCGCTGGCCGCAGCATGCTGGCCGCAGCAGCCATTGGAGGGTGAACCAATGGAAAAGGAAGACCTTTCTCTCTGTCTCTCTCTCTCTCTCACTGTCCACTCTGCCTGTCAAAAAATTAAAAAATAATAATAAAATAAATTTAACTGAAAAATGATCCCTGTTAAATATAAAAGTGGGAATAAGAGAATGAGGAGATGTACGGATTGGGACATGCTCAATCGGACTTGCCCCAGTGGTGGAGTTAGAAAGGTGCCAGGGAATTCCAATTCAATCCCAACAAGGTGGCATGTACCAATGCCATGTCATTAGTCAAAGTGATCAATTTCAGTTCACAATTGATCATACTGATAAGTCTAATATTCAAAGGGATCACATAAACAAGACTAGTGTCTGAAAATACTAACTGAAAGAATTAAAAATTAGAGAATGATCCAACATGGGAAGCAGGATACACAACAGACTCATAGAATGGCAGATGTCCTAAACAGCACTCTGGCCTCAGAATCAGCCCTTAAGGCATTCGGATCTGGCTGAAGAGCTCATGAGACTATTTCAGGCATGGAAATCCAAGACACTTCGACAAAAAAAGAGGACCTAAATGACAGATCTCTGTGAGTGAGATCCCAGTGGAAAGAAGGGGTCATCAAAGAAGGAGGTACCTTTCTCTGAAGGGAGGAGAGAACTCCCACTTTGACTATGACCTTGTCTAAATAAGATCAGAGTTGGAAAACTCAAAAGGCTTCCATAGCCTTGGCAACTCATGACAAGAGCCTAGGGAGATTACTGATGCCATAAACAAGAGTGTCAATTTGTTAAGTCAACAACAGGAGTCACTGTGCACTTACTCCACATGTAGGATCTCTGTCCTTAATGTGTTTTACTATGCGAATTAATGCTATAACCAGCACTGAAACAGTACTTTACACTTTGTGTTTCTGGTAAGGCACAAACTGTTGAAATCTTTTCTTAATATATACCAAATTGAATTCTGTATATGAAGATAATTTAAAATGAATCTTGATGTTAATGGAATGGGAGAGGGAGCAGGAGATGGGAGCATTACGGGTAGGAGGGAAGTTATGGGGGGGCAAAAGCCACTGTAATCCATAATCTGAACTTTGGAAATGTATCATTATTAAATAAATGTTAAAAATTAAATAAATACTATGACCTTGTCTAAACAAGATTAGAGTCGGAGAACTCAAGGGGCTTCCATAGCCTTGGAAACTCATGACTGGTGCATAGGGATATTACTGATGCCATAAATGGGAGTGTCAATTTGTAAAGTCAATAACAGGAGTCACTGTGCACTTACTCCTCATGTAGGATATCTGTCCTTAATGTGCTGTACATTGAGACTTAATGCTATAACGAGTACTCAAACAGTATATTTCACTTTGTGTTTTTATGGGGGTGCAAACTGTTGAAATCTTTACTTAATGTATACTAAACTCATCTTCTGTAAAAAAAAAAAAAAGAAGAAATTATCAATTCCCAACTTGACTCTCACTGGGATTAAACATGACAATAGGTCTGATCTGATTTCATCATCATTTAAAAAATCATCTATTATTTTTCACTTTATGTTTCTCTGTGGGAGCAAACTGTTGAAATCTTTACTTAATGTATGCTAAACTGATCTTCTGTATATAAAGAGAATCGAAAATGAACCCTCATGCGAATGGAAGGGGAGAGGGAGTGGGAAAGGGGAGGGTTGCGGGTGGGAGGGACGTTATGGGGGGGGAAGCCATTGTAATCCATAAATCGTACTTTGGAAATTTATATTCATTAAATAAACGTTTAAAAAATTAAATAAATAAATAAATACATAAATCTTTTTAAAAAAAATCAAGTAAATGCACACATATATTGAAAGTAAAGAAAAAGGTGTTCCATAGAAACACAAACCAAAATAAGTAGGAGTAGCTATGCTTGTAGAAGACAAAATAAACGTTAAGACAGAAATTGTAAAATGAGAAAAAGAAAGTCACTACATAACAATGAAGAGAACCAGCCAACAAGATGTGATCATAGTTGTTAATGCAAATATGCCAGTGGACTTATTTTTATGGAAAAAAATGTTATCATATCTAAAGGGAGACATAAGCTCCAATGCAATAATATTGTGGGACTATAACACCACACTCTGATCAATGGACAGATCATCCAGACAAAAATAAAACATCAAAGAATTCATAGAACTTGTAGAAACTATTGATCAAATTGACCTAATAATATTTACAGAACATTCCATTCTATAACTGCGGAATCCACATTCTTTACATCAGCACATGGAACACTCCTTGAATAGACTATGGAGCACAAAATGAGTATCAAGAATTTTTAACAAATCATACACATATCATGTGTATTTTCTGACTGAAAAGCACTAGAACTCTAAATTAAAACAAAATAAGCTACAGAAATTATACAACTGCATGGAATATAAACAGCATGAAAGAACAGTGGGTTACTGAACGAATGAATAGTGAACTTAAATATTTCTTGAAAATTTATAAAATAAAACATATCCCAGCGCCGCGGCTCACTAGGCTAATCCTCCACCTAGTGGCGCCGGCACACTGGGTTCTAGTCCAGGTTGGGGCGCCGGATTCTGTCCCGGTTGCCCCTCTTCCAGGCCAGCTCTCTGCTGTGGCCCGGGAATGCAGTGGAGGATGGCCCAAATACTTGGGCCCTGCACCCGCATGGAAGACCAGGAGAAGCACCTGGCTTCGGATCAGCGCGCTGCTAGCCACAACGCGCCGGCCGCGGTGGCCATTGGAGGGTGAACCAACGGCAAAATGAAAACCTTTCTCTCTGTCTCTCTCTCTCACTGTCCACTCTGTCTGTCAAAGATAAAAATAAAATAAAACATATCATATACATTGAAAAGTTGATTCTGTTGCCAGCATTGTTGTGCAGTGGGATAAACCACTCCCTGCAAAGCCAAAACATTAACATGGTCATCGGCTCAAGTCCCAGGCACTCCACTTCCTGTCCAACTCCCTGCTCTTGCACTAGGCAAGCAGCAGAAGATGTTCCAAGTCTTTGGGCCCCAACTTTTGGAAGGCCAGTATATTGAAGGAGGTACATTGAAAAGTTATACTGCTAGAATTTATGTTAACATTATAAGGAAGGGAGAAGGAATTTCCACTTAAGGTTGAGTGACAATTAAGCAATTGAGTGCTAACTGATCTTTTGCTGTGCTCTTTCAACAGGAGGCTGGTGGAGTCTGCTCGGTGGCTGATTACCACCAATCAGCTAGTTGAAGGCACCAAGGCACTTAGAAGTGTTGCACACATCAATGGAAAAGAGAGTTCTGGAAAGATCCTGACCCTTGAGGTGATCTGGAAAGGGGAGCTAGTTACTGGGATAAAATGCCATGAACTCACAATCACCCTCAACTGGGTTCCTGAGGGAATGCAGGCTAAAAATAGAATTCTGTGAGTGGGGTAGCACATCTCTGAATTGATTCCCTATGGATTCATAATTTTAGAAAGGGTCACTGAAAAAAAGTTTACTTTTCCTGATGCCAAGAATTTGAACATAGATATTGCAGTTCATTGGCATATGTGCACATAGAATTGTAACATAGATATTGCAATTCCTTGGCATAAGTGCACGTAGTAGTTTGAATCAATAGCTAAATATCCTTAGCCTAGACATGTAGGGGCAAATATTGGAAGTAATTTCATTTCCCACATTTTCACTATCTTTTTAAATTTTTTTCTATATATTTGAAAAACAGAGTTACAGAGAGAAGTAGAGAGAGAGAAATAGTTCTTCCATCTGCTGGTTTACTCCCCAGATGGCCACAATGGCTGGAGCTGTGCCGATCCAAAGCCAGGAGCCTGGAGCTTCTTCTGGGTCTCCCACATGGGTACAGGGGCCCAAGGACTTGGGCCATCTTCCACTGCTATCCCAGGCCATAGAAGAGAGCGAGATTTGAAGAGTAGCAGCTGGGACTAGAACCAGCACCCATATGGGATGCTGGCACTTAAGGACAGGGGTTCAACCCGCTGCACCTCAGCTCCAGCCCTCTTTCACTATCTTTAAGTTCCCTTTGGGGTAATCAGAAAGCCTATAAAAGAAAAGTTTGTTGTCCATGTAGAGGATAACATTAAAAGCATAATTTTGACATTCATGCATTTATTCAGTAATTCATTGAAAATTTCTTATGCACTACATATAAGATGTGCTTATCTACATAATGTGGATATGGTGGTAGGTGGGTAATGCTATCTATATCCTCCTCTTTGTGTGGCAAAAATTGTGACATGATTTCCTTTTTTTTCAAAGTTTCCTTCCTCGTGTTTGGAAGCCATATCCTGATGTGACTCACCCACGTACTTCTCACTTAATCATATTAAATCATTTATGTACATACAGGGCACAAGCAGGGTAATAGATACTAGTATGTGCATAATTCAGAGTCACTGACTTCAAGATACTCCCATTGTACAATTGGATACAAGATTAAGAATTCATTGTGTACAACAGGTGTTAAGACAAGATTATATTGGCCGGCGCCATGGCTCAATAGGCTAATCCTCCACATGCGGCATCTGCACACCGGGTTCTAACCCCGGTTGGGGCACCAGATTCTGTCCCTGTTGCCCCTCTTCCAGTCCAGCTCTCTGCTGTGGCCAGGGAGTGCAGTGGAGGATGGCCCAAGTCCTTGAGCCCTGCACCTGCATGGGAGACCAGGAGAAATACCTGGCTCCTGGCTTCAGATCAGCGTGGTGCGCCAGCCGCAGTGGCCATTGGAGGGTGAACAAATGAAAAAGGAAGACCTTTCTCTCTGTCTCTAACTATCCACTCTGCCTGTCAAATAAATAAATAAATAAATAAATAAATAAAAGACAAGATTATATGCAGAATTTTTGGGGGGAGGACACAAGGTAGTATTCACTCTAGCTTAATTGGCTAGGAAAGGGTTGTGAGTTGGCTATTAAAATGAAAAAGAAAGGCATTGGAACATCACAGAAACTGATTGGTAGCTGTATAACTGAAAAATGCCCCCATTCAACCATGAACAAAAGCAATGCCTTGCAGAATAAGATGTTGATCAAACGAAACACAAAGTTTCTGGCCTCTGATCCAATGACTCCATTTCCCTGACATAATAAATAAATTGCTACTTGGCCATTGCCCAGGAAAAACTAATTTCTTTATTGCTTATATTCAAAGTCTATAATCTTAATCTTACCATTTAATTGATGCCTCAATGTGGATGAGACCACTTATGTGCAGTTCTCTAACTACAGCACTTTTGTATTTCGACTTCTGTTTTCTTTAACCTGCTTATCACTTTCTATTGGCCTTCAGAAGGAGATTGCTCAATATGCAGATTTCTGCTACAATCAATCAGGGTAATAGAATGGTCTTCAAAAAGTTCATGGAAATGCCCATTATACAAAAACTAGGCAGAAATTTCAATCCTGTTGCACTAACATGAATTTATTAACTCCATTTTCCACCTACTTTTTGAAGTTCCCTCCTATATGTTTTCTTATAATCCTGAAATTCCTCCTAGCATTCATCCACTGCCAAATTACAATTTTATCTCAAATTTTTAGCTATTTTTAACAGCTGTTAAACACCTTTTGGAACTCTACACACAAGAGATTGAACACTGAATGCTCACACCCCCCTCCCCTCCAGATAGAAGAGTTGTGAGTACAGTGAACTCTGGGTCTATCTCATCTTCCAGGACTCACCACTACACTCATTGACATCTCATAAACGCTTGTTGTTGTTTTTGTTGTCAAAGTTTGTGCGGTCCACCATTCAGGAGGAGATGGACAAAGCCTCAACCAAACCATCCGTGGTCGAGGTGTTCCAGGCACCCAAACTGCGCATGAGGATTCTCTACCTGAGCTTCCTGAGGTGAGTTACACTGGGTGATGGTCATGAAGAATTCCTTATGTTGTCTTACTTTGTCCTTTTTCAAGGTTGTCAATTTTTTGGTTCTTTTAAAAAATATATTCCTAATGTAATATTTAAAAATATATTCTGAATGTCTTGCCTCAGTGTGGAAATAAAGAATGTGTTTTGAGTAACTAATTTTTTCATCTTTTTATCTTTTTATATTTAATGTAAAGAGAACAGATTTCATATATTTTATAGGTATAGTTCAAGAAGACAACCCTCCTCAACTCCCTCCTTCAATCCTTTTCCTCTTCCTATTTTTTCTTAATTATTGCAAAAAAAAAAACAACATAATTTCAACCCACTCAATAACCATAGGCTTCATTCACCACTAATCATAATATTCAATAAGGAAAATGTAGGAAGACCACAGTTCCACAGGAGTGAAAACAAGGGCTAAAAACAACAATCATACCACAAGATGCCTTTTCATGCCTATACATTGCTTGCATTCTATGTTAACTGCCACGTATCAGAGACAATATGTGATGTTTGTCTTTTGGGGACTTGATCATTTCACTAAGTATAATGGTTTCCAATTGCATCCATTTTATAGCAAAAGACAGGTTGTCATTCGTTTTTTTTTTTTTGTGGCTGAGTAATATTCCAAAGGGTAGTATATCACATTTTTTTCAGCAGTCATCACTTGATGGACACCTACATTGATTCCATATCTAATTAATTGTAAATTGAGTTGCAACACTCACAGGGGTACAGATAACTCTTCAAATGGTAGATCTGTTTTCAGACTTTCCATAATGTTTGTACTAGATTACATTACTACCAACAGTGTATTTGGGTACCTTTTTCCCTCACCCTCATCCACATTTCTTATTTTTTTTGATTTGGGGAAGATAACCACCCTAATTGGGGTGGGGTGAAGCTTCATTTTGGTTTGGATTTGCATTTCCTTGATGCTTAGAGATCCTGACCATCTTTCAGCCACTTGAATGTCATCATTTGAAAAATTTTTTTTATTTTCTTTTCCATTTCTTACCTGAATTGTTTGTCTTATTGTTGAGCTCTCATAGATCTTGGAGATTCATCCTTTATTAGCTGTGTAGTTTGCAGATGTTTTCTCCTGTTCTATCAGATTACTCTTGACTTTTCTGAGTGTTTCCTTTGCAGGGCAGAACCTTCTTAGCTTAATGTAATCCCATTTGTCTACTTCTGTTTTTATTTCCTGTGATTCTGGGGTCCTTTCCAAGAAGTCTTTGCCTATGCCAATGGCTTTCAGAGTTTTCCTGATGTTTACCTCTAGTAATTTGATGGTTTGAGGTCATAGATTTAGATCCTTGATCAATTTCAAGTTGATGTTTGTATAAGGTGTAAGGAAAGCATCTGGTTTTGTACTTTCGCATGCAAAGATCCAATTTTCCCAGCACCATTTGTTGGATTTCCTTTCCTTAGGGATTTATTTTAGCTCCTTTGTTAATGAATAATTGATTGTAGAGATCTGTATTAACTTCTGGGTTTTCTGTTCTGTTCTATAGATAGAATGTCCATCTTTGTGAAAGTACCCATGTGTTTTGACTATAACTACCCTGTACAATGCCTTGAAATCTGGTAGTGAAAACCCTATGGCTTTGTTTTTGTTATTTTTCCTTTAGATATTTGAGATCTCTTATGATTCAAGCATTTTAGCATTTTTTTCCTACAGCTGAGGATCTAATTAATTTATTTGACAGATAGATTGAGACAGTGAGAGAGACAGAGAAAGGTCTTCCCTCCACTGGTTCACCCGCAAAATGGCTGCTATAGCCGGAGCTACACCAATCTGAAGCCAGGAGCCAGGTGCAGGGGCCCAAAAACTTGGGCCATCATCCACTTCCTTCCTGGGCCACAACAGAGAGCTGGACTGGAAGAGGAGCAACTGGGACTAGAACCCAGTGCCCATATGGGATGACGGCACTGCAGTCAGAGGATTAAACAAGTGAGGCATGGCACTGGACCCTGAATGTCCTTTTTAAAGGATTTATTTACTTATCTGAGATAGAGAGACACAGAATGAGACAGGGAGACACAGAGGTCTTCCATCCGCTGGTTAACTCCCAAAAAAGAACCACAACAGCTAGAGCTGGACTGATCTGAAGCCAGGAGCCAGGAGCCAGGAGCTTCCTCTTGGTCTCCCATGAGGGTGGATGGTCTAAGCACTATGGCCATCCTCCTCTGCCCTTTCACACCATTAGCAGGAGCTATATTAGAGGAAGAGCAGTCAAACACAAATAGGGTATCATATGGAATACTGGCACCATTTGCAGAGGCTTAGCATAATCCACCACAGTGCTATCCCTGTCTTTTGTATTTTTATTGGGATCACCATAAATGTGTAAATTGCCTTGGGTTGTACAAGCATTTTGTTGATATTATTTTTTTCCAAACCATGAACCTGGAAGATGCTTTGTGTTTTTTTGTATGGTCTTTTATTTCTTTCTTTATTTTTTTAAATTTACATCATAAAGATACTTTACCTTCTTTGTTAAATTTATTTCAAGGTATTTATATATTTTTGTAGCTGTTGTGAATAGTACTGATCTTACAAGTGCTTGCTCAACCAAGAAATCTTTTCTGTTGAAAAAGGCTATTGATTTTTGTGTACTGATTATATATCTTGAAATTTAACCAAACTCTTACAAGTCCCAGTAGCCTCAGAGTGGAGAGTTTGCTATCCATATATTTAGAATCATGTCATAGTGTAAACAGGGATATTTACTTCCTCCTATCAATTTGTTTCATATTGGTTTCTTTTTTGCCTAATGGAACTGACTAAAACATCCAGAACTGTATTGAATAGTAGTGGTGAAAGTGGGCATCCCAATTCAATCCCATCAAGGTGGCATGTACCAATGTCATCTCACTAGTCAAAGTGATCAGTTTCAGTTCATAATTGATCATAATGATAGGACTAAGTGCAAAGGGATCACATAAACAAAACTAGTGTCTGCAAATACTAACTGATAGAATCAAAAAGGGAGAGAATGATCCAACATGGGAAGTAGGATACACAGCAGACCCATAGAATGTCAGATGTCCTAAATAGAACTCTGGCCTCAGAATCAGCCCTTAAGGCATTCGGATCCAGCTGAAAAGCTCATGAGACTATTTCAGGCATGGAAAGCCAAGACACTCTGGCAAAAAAAAAAAATGAAATGACCTAAATGAAAGATCTCTGTGAGTGAGATCCCAGTGGAAAGAACAGGTCATCAAAGAAGGAGGTACCTTTCTCTGAAGGGAGGAGAGAACTTCCACTTTGACTATGACCTTGTCTAAATATGATCCAAGTTGGCGAACTCAAAAGGCCTCCATAGCCTTGGCAACTCATGACAAGAGCCTAGGGTGATTACTGAGGCCATAAACAAGGGTGTCAAATTGTTAAGGCAACAACAGGAGTCACTGTGCACTTACTCCTCATATAGGATCTCTGTCCTTAATGTGCTGTACATCATGATTTAATGCTATAACTAGTACTCAAACAGTATTTTTCACTTTGTGTTTCTGTGTGGGTGAAAACTGTTGAAAGCTTTACTTATATATGCTAAATTGATCTTCTGTATATAAAGATAATTAAAAATGAATCTTGATGTGAATGGGATGGGAGAGGAAATGGGATATGGGATGATTGTGGGTGGGAGGAAGGATATGGGGGGAAAGCTGCTATAATCCGAAAGTTGTACTTTGGAAATTTATATTTAATAAATAAAAATTTATAAAAAAGAAAGTGGGCATCCCTGTCTGGTTCTGGCTCTTAGTGGAAATGCTTCCATGTTTATCCTATTAAAAAGATGACTGTGGATTTGTCATATTTTGGCTTGATTGTGCTGAAGACTGGTATATCTATACACAATTTGCTTAATGTTTGTATCATGAAAAATTGTTACATTTTATCAAATGTTTTCTCTGCATCTAATGAGATAATCATATAGCTTTTACTCTGAAATTTATTAATGTGATGTATCACATTTATTGATTTGCACATATTGAACCATCTCTGCATACTATGGATAAATCCCATTTGTTCTGGGTTAAAGATTTTTCTGATATTATATTGGATTTGATTAGCTAATATTTTTTAGGATTTTTGCATCTAATTTCATCAGAGATATTGGGCTGTAATTCTCTTTCTAGGTTGTACCTTTATTTGGCTTTGGATTAACATTTGTAGTTAGAGAAAAATTAGAATTTATTCTTCTTGGGCAGAGCCAAGATGGCGTAATAGTGAGGATGTGCACTGATAGTACGGGAAAAGATAGTTTAATAAAAGTGGAGTTACTGTAGTTTCAGGAAAAGGCTCAGGAAAAATTGCAGAGAAAACTATTCCGGATCTAGTTAATGTGACACGGAGGACCCACGGGGAGAGCAAGGACACCCACAGCTCAGGAGCCCAACCACGGAGTCTATGCACCAGCGCTGGAAGTGGAGGTGAGGTCAGTAGCCTGAGACATTGACAGGGAAATGGCAGAAAGAGCACAGAGGGAACGAGGCCTGAAGCCCCACTGGGGAAAGTTCACCAGGCTAAGTAGAAGAGAGAAATAAATAAATAAATAATAAAGGGACCAACACGGAAATGAGACTCTCTCTCTCCACTCACCTTACAAAGGCAAGCAAGACAAAGAGCAGGCACCATTTTGGACATACATAAAGTGGCACACGCCATCAACCAAGCAGAAAAACCTGACTCTGGTGGGGAGAAATAACAGGAGGTTAGGACCTACTGAAGGTGTGGAACTAATGAACTGAGACTGAAAATCTGAGGGTATGAGAGAGAACTCATGGAGTACAGACACTCGGTAACCTTGGCAACCTGGTGGAAGAACAGGAAAATTTGAGATCACAAGGAGGACTGCATAGACACATTGTGTGGTCCTTGGGGCAGAGCAAACAAATATTATACCCACAGGGGCCAGATTTATACATTGACTACCCTCAATTCTGCTCAGCTGTGTGGAATTTTTTTAACT